TAGGGAGCAACTGTGGATTGCCTGGTCCGGGCTAAGGGACATCTCTTGGGGCCTATGGATAAGGAGCATCCCCGGTTGCAAGCGTAGGGCTGTAAGTTTGTAGGGTGCAGTGGGGCAGCTTGGCAGTGACACGGAGAGGCCGAGGGAGGGCTTCAGAGGTCAAGGGCTCGAGGGCTGGAGACAAACAGTGAAAAGAAAAGGGGTATAGGTTGGGATATAAGGTAGAGTACAGGACTATTCAAACCCTAAACAGTAGCCCTAACAGCGCTCCCGTTTCCTTGAGACAGCTGCAGGCAGGAACCCTAAAGCAGCAGAGTGCCAGAACCCCCGAGAGGTGCAGGCAGTTCCCTGGTGCTAGGGCCAGCCAGGAAGAGATAGTGAGTGTTAGGGGCTACTGCTGTCATATAAGCTGGGGTTTCTATCCTTGGGGTACCCTGGGCTCCCTGTCCCTCACTGACTGGAGAGTCTTCCTCCCCTCCTTGAGGTGGTGGTCATTTGGCTGTCAGCCAATACTGCTGTGAAGCAAGCCTCTGCCTCCCTGTGGGGTGAAGTGTGCAGCCCATGAACCTGGGCATTCTCTAGAGAAGGTAAGTGCTGGGTTTTCACATATGTTGCACTAAGCTCCTGCATTGATATTTTGTCTTCTTGGTTGTAGCTGACTAGGAGACGACATCCTGGCAATGGCAGGAACTTCCCAGATGGCGAGGCGGCCTTCCTTCGCACCCCATGTGGATACACCCTGCCGGGCATCCGAGAGCTGGGTCGAAGGCTACGACCTGCAGAGGGGATGAAAGCGGGGTGCCGGGCCGGGACATGTGCCCTGGGATTTTTGAGTCAGCTTTGGGGACGGGGAGGTCCAGGCTGTGGCCCCTTAGGCCACACGGTGGGAGAGCCTCACTTTTGTTCACAGTGCTGAGGTGTGCAGGACAGAGCAGCCTCGGGGCGCATCGTGTCACTTGTCCGTCGTGCCTTCTGTGTCTTTTGTGCCTCTTGTGTTGTACGTGCCTTGCCCTATCTCTTCTGGGGGCTTACCAGAAACCCCAGCGTCGCTTATAGCATCTCCAATCTCTGGGCCCCTCGGCTCGGCAGCTCTCAGGGGCCTTGGAATCGCGTCTCTTTTGACAAGCATCCGATCGGATGTCTTTTAGACGTCTTGCTCCGAGCTGTGTCAACAGCCGTGCGCCGCGAGGATCCATTGTAGCGGCTTAGGACTTGAAGAAACGCAAAGATAGGTAGAGGATTGCGGCCGTAAGATTCTTGGGCATCCATCCTGGCGGTTCCTGGAGTTTGTCATTCCGTCAGCATCTTCTTCCTCCCGGGTTCTGTGAGCTTCATCAGCTCGCCTTCGTTCTCACCCGGCTCATCTCGTTCCGCATTCTCTCAGTGCTTGCGGTCGTTCTTGTGGCCCAGAGTTTTGTCTCCCCATTGTGTCCCCTCGTCTGTTGTCTGGTGTGTCACGGGTGTCTGGGTGTAGTTGTCCCGGAGCTGCTCTGCCCTGCTGCCCAGCCTGGCTGTAGGTGTAAAAGGCCAAGTCCCAGGCCCCCGTAATTTGAAATCTGTGATGTAGGGTATAGTTGGGGTCTAGAACATATCCCTAGATCAACACAAGATGTCTGGAGCTGTGAAGTTACCCTGCAGCACTTTAACTTTTGTCTCAGCTTTCTTTCAGATGCGAGATGTCTGGAGCTGTGAAGTTACCCTGCAGCACTTTAACTTTTGTCTCAGCTTTCTTTCAGATGCGGATGGATGAAATCAGTGGCAGAGAGCCCCATCCAGGGTAAGGGGGTTCCCCCGAGAAGGTAAGTCAATGTTTGTCTTTGCAGGGCAACTGGAACCGGTCACTGTGTTACAGGTCTCCTCTTTGTCTTTATTTTTAGGAAATAGAGCCGGCTAGCAGCAGTCAAGGTGAAGTGGGCAAGGTGAGCGTTGAGCGGTGGAGGGAGGCTGTTGTTATCGCTGGGCTCTCAGTTTCTGGTGCAACGTCAAGCGTCCCTTCTTGTTTGCGTGCTTTAGGCGGTCCAGTCGCGTTTCGTCGAGACCCCGTCGCCAGCCGGCCGGCACGCCTGCTTCGCCGCTCCCGTGAGCCCTGCGGAAGCGTCACAGGGACCGCGTGACGGAGCCTTTTCCACGTAAAGGGGCCGTGTGGGTGGCCTTCAGGAAGGGGCCGAGGGCTTCCCGTGAGTTGGGGATGTCGGGAGGAGGAGCGAGGGCCTGTTCACGTTTCAGCAATGCCACATCACTTTTTCTTCTCTGAACTCAGGCGCGCCCTCTGCGACGACGGTGTCTGGTTTCGGCGTGGCGGTATCATGCGGCCTTCAGGACACGGCCGTTCGCAGGAGACCGTGAGTAGCGGAATTGTCGGGTTTTGGCCGATGCCCTGCAAAGATCAGCTGCTGATTTTCTGTTTTGTTTTTTGCAGTTGACGGAGAGACGACAGCCTGGCGATGGCAGGAACTTCCCGGATAGCCAGGCGGCCTTCCTTGGCGCTTCGTGTGGATCCTCCTCAGCGGGCATCCGAGAGCTGAGTCGAAGGCTACAACCCGCAGAGGGGATGAAAGCGGGGTGCCGGGCCGGGACATGTGCCCTGGGATTTTTGAGTCAGCTTTGGGGATGGGGAGGTCCAGGCTGTGGCCCCTTAGGCCACACGGTGGGAGAGCCTCACTTTTGTTCACAGTGCTGAGGTGTGCAGGACAGAGCAGCCTCGGGGCGCATCGTGTCACTTGTCCGTCGTGCCTTCTGTGTCTTTTGTGCCTCTTGTGTTGTACGTGCCTTGCCCTATCTCTTCTGGGGGCTTACCAGAAACCCCAGCGTCGCTTATAGCATCTCCAATCTCTGGGCTCCTCGGCTCGGCTGCTCTCAGAGGCCTTGGAATCGCGTCTCTTTTGAAAAGCATCCGATCGGATGTCTTTTAGATGTCTTGTTCCGAGCTGTGTCAACAGCCGTGCGCCGCGAGGATCCATTGTTGCGGCTTAGGACTTGAAGAAACGCAAAGATAGGTAGGGGACTGCGGCCCTCAGGTTCTTGAGCATCTGTCTTGGCAGTTCCTGGAGTTTGTCATTCCGTCAGCATCTTCTTCCTCCCGGGTTCTGTGAGCTTCATCAGCT